TTAGAAGCTTTTAATAAAAAATATGTTTTATCCCGAAGAATTTTACATTCAAGATCGAGTATTGTTTTTCGAATGTTACTATTTAAGCAAATAGATTTGAATTGTTGCTTATTCGTATAAAGTTTCTATATAAATCTCTCCGACATTGGCACATGCGAAAAAACACTTCTGCCTTCGACAGTCGAGGGTTAAGTGAGTCGAAACGGCGAACGTTACTTGTTTTTTTATGTTGGTGCTGGTAAAGGTGGTAATTTACTTGATTTACATGTAATGAACATTTTATCTATATTCGTACGTAGGTAAATTTAGCCAAAGATTCGAGTAAAATTAGCTAGGATTCGCCCAGGAACCTGTTCCAACTGCTCCAATAGGGTTCCAAGTAAAACTCGATGAGCTCTATCTGATGGTATGTTCAGATCTCTCATGGCCCAAAGTATGGTTAAGAAAAACCAAAATATCGCATTTTTGCAATGAAATTCTAGCCAAAGATTCGAGTAAAAGTAGCTAGAATTCGCCTAAGAATGTGTTCCAGCTGTTCCAATAGCGTTCCAAATAGAACTCGACGAGCTCTATCCAACGGTATGTTCAGATCTTTTGTAACTTAATGTTTAATTTCGAGACCATAGATGGCGTCACAAGTAAAGTTGGAAATTATAGTTTGGAATACTGACGATCTGAACATATCATTGGATAGAGCTCGTGAAGTTTTATTTGAAACGCTATTGGAACAGTTGGAACAGGTTCCTGGGTGAATCCTAGATGATTTTACCCGAATCTTTGGCTAACTTCACCTACGTTTATTGCTGCTATTTAAAAACATAGTGTTATCTCCTGCAAAAACATTTTTACGCACCTAGTACTTTATTTGCATTCTTTCTTTTCTTTGTCCTATATGCTTCTATTCTTTTTTTTATTTGATCATTAGATTTAGAGAAAACATAAAGAAGGAACGAATAAAAGAGGCTTCTCGTGCTTACTGAATATTAAGCACATGTTGTATTCAGAAGAATGAAAAAAACGAAAAGAAATGCTACCTCGTAAACAAAGGAGAAGAAGGAGAGAGAGAGCTTCAACTACTAACAAATAAAGTGTAATAGAGAAGAACGAAAGAGCTACATTGCATGTATCTGCTTGAGGAGAAGAACATGGTAGGTACGAAAATAAACAGAATGAAAGTGAAACTATTGTTCTACACGATATTATGCGAACGTGTGATAAAATAGAAGAAACGCACATTCTTCACACACAGGATAAATAGTCGTTATACTTCATGTTCTCTTTATGCAAATGTCGCCAATATCATCCCTCTTTCGTTCATCACAGTCACATTATTATAGTCCTGATTTTATTCGTGACACCCTACCTTTTTTGTGCTTTTTTATACAATTTTTGCGGACGCTTACGAACAATCACAGTCACATTTTATTTATTTGTAATGCAGATTCTTCAGTCCTTTTTTTTCATTTATTAGCCTATTATTATTTTGAGTAGAACAGCATGGCACTTCCCTTTTTTGTTCACGCCAATAGAGTGCGTGTGTATATGCCGTTACGCGCACCTCGTACTCAACATTCAGTCGATGGATGTTTAAAAACGTTTAAAAAGCGCAAGATAAAAACATGAGATCGAGACTATTTTACGCATAGAAGAGTAAACGAAAACGAGTAGTGAGGATCCCGTGTGACACGTTCTACTATACGATATGAGTTCGTTGCAATATTCATAGCAGCCTTATTCGCAAGAAAACGATCAGTATTACCTAGAAAAAAGCAGGCTTACCTTTTTTGATAATACGATAAACCGTTCTGCCCTATCCTTTCCAATACTCAATCGTTTACCACTATAATTGTTTAATTTATGTAGGTCCTACCCCATTTTGACGACGTTCAACTACACAATCACCGAAAGCAAGCACAAAAATGACGACTACCACTGATCCAGAAGTCCTCATTAGACGCGCAACAATAAGCGATGCAAAAGGCATAAATTCACTCTTAGTTGATTCATTTTCTCTGTCATCTCCATTCTACGATTATCTCCTTCCAAAAGGTCAGTTAAATCGAGAGCTAGTATTTGAATATTGGCACAAAGAAGCACTAGTGATGAACGATATAGCGTACGTAGCAACAATCGATAACAAAATCGTAGGCGCTTCAATTGGTCGATATAGATCAACATCCTTTGTACCGCAAGATGCAGAAAATCACGAATTATCTTCCGAACAGAAGAAGTTGATTGGATATGATGACTATACTACTGAACAACTCGAAATGATAATGACATTTCTTCATAATTTTGATTTCTGCTACGCAAACTGGGCAATACAAGCACAGCAATACATTCCATCTGGTACACCATATGTCTATATTCGCGGAATGAACGTCTCAGAAAATCATCAGAAAAAGGGAATTGGATTACGATTACTGACTATGGTACTTAACGAAGCTAAAAAGTTGAATGTACCTACATTCCTTGAAGCTTCACCTGCGGGGATGGCATTATATTTGAAAGCTGGAGCAGAGAAAGGTGGAACTATAGTGACCAAAGATCGCGAAGGGAATGTATTGATGGAAGAGTCGTGTATGGTATGGAGAAATTACGATTTGATTTGACAAGAAAATATTCACAGTCATGATTATATTTATGTAGAACTGATAGACAGAACATTAATGAAATTTAGTTTGAAATCAAAATACAAGGGTGAGGGTGGGTGAGAGTGTGAGTTTGTTAGTAAAATATTAAATCGAAGGAGAGAGCATGAAATTGGGTGTGGGTGTGGGGTGTGTGGATGAAGATATTATCCACACCGACACCCACACCCACCACACCCGCACCTACACTCACACGCACATCCTATCTTGTTTCTACCAAAACTTAATAAAAAAACTTCCACTGAATAGGCATTACTGTAACTGACATATATCATAGAAAAACGAATCTAATCAGAATTTTATTATTATGGTATTAGGTGAAATATGATTAAATAGCATAGAAAGAAAGAGCATTCTTTTCTCTATTAGACTATATAGAGAGAAAGTTTTTAAAACTTACTATTCAATATTAAAATGCCGTGATCAGAACTTTTGGTATACGCCAAATATGTCTTTTTTGAAAGCATATAACAGAATAATTCAATTTTGTGATTATTCGTAATCATATAGATTTTTTGCCATCTGAAGAGTTGTCTTAGTCGACAATGAAATCTAGATCATGGTAGCTGTTCTCACCCCCTCACCCTCTAGAATTCTTCGGAATATCTGGGGTTTTTAAAACTTTTATGCAGATTATCTTATCACCTGAAGATTGATCTCTTTAAATGAGATCGAAATCTGGATTGTGGTACTTATTTGTTTATAAATAAAATCAAAAGCACCAATAGGTCGAGCAACACATACAGTTTGTACATAGACCAACACTTGATCTATCATATGATTTTTCTAAATGAAAATCATTTTTATTTCAATTTTTTAATGAAAAATGACAAAATATCAAAAAACTGGATGTGGGGTGTGGGTGTGGGTGTGGGTCTTGCTCTTCTATCCATCCACACCCATACCCATACCCACACCCACACCCACACCCACACCCACACCCACACCCACACCCTCCATTCTTCCGGTATTGTACCTTCGTTCCATGCTTTGTTGCATAGTTTGTGAAGTTGATCTGCCAGCAGCTCTTCTTCAGCTTGTAGCATTTCTGCTGTGATTCCATCCAAACCTGGACTTTTGTTCTGTTTGAGTGTGCATATCGCTTCTTCTACTTCGAAGCGCAAGATATCTTGAGGATTTTCGATATTTGTTGGTGTGATCTCCTCAAGTTCTTTTACCATCTTGTCACCTTCTCCATGGCCCTGATATAGAGCGCTGTAGTATTCTGTCCATCTTTGTTTTATTTGTTCTTTTGACTGTAACATTGTACCGTTCTAGTCTCGTATTACGTTTATATGAGGAGAGAATTTTCTTCGGAGCATTTTTATTAGACTGTAGGGTTGTTCGGTATTTCCAACTTTCACACCCTTTTCGATCTCTTCACACTGCAGCTCTATCCAGTGTTCATTATCTTGTTTCGCGGCCTTCTTGACTTTCTTGCAGAATTCTTTGTATTGTTGTCTCTTCTCTGAGGATGTATCTTTCATTTGCTTCAATAGGCGCTTTTCTTCTGCTAGTTCTAGTGTTTCTTCAGAAATCCAAGGTTTCCTAGTCTTTTTCCTATCGGGTATTGTTTCTTCTATTGCTTTTTTGATCGCTGCTTGTGTGAATGTGAGTGTGGGTGTGAGTGTAGGTACCAATCGACAACGTGAGACTCACATCCACACCCGTGCAAGACCGCCCCGACAGGGGGCGACGTCAGGGATGTAACACCCCCCAATCATAAGAAATTTTCTTTTTTTTCGTCGCGAAATTCAAAAATTTCCTGGGTTGTGTTAGTAAAAGTAGCGTTACACAGCCCTCCCCAAAATTCACAATACTTGACCTCTTCCTCTAAAAAAATTCGCTACACCCCCCCCCCCCCCCCCCCCAATCTTGAGCGACTCGGAGCAGCCCTGTATGCGTGTCTACTGTTCACTGATTAGGTTTTCTTACATGTTCTCGAGTGCAATAGTAGTTTTGCTTGCATATATTAAGATTGAACTTTCCCGGGCAACGCCAAGTACTTCCACTAGTAATATATAAACATACCTTCTTTAGGATGGATTACCACTAGTAATATGAAGTATGAACGAGCTTTTCACGCAGCATCCCTATTGACAAATGGGAAACTGTTAGTTACTGGTGGTAAGTTTTGGAGTTATCTAAATAGTACTGAGTTGTATGATCCATCAACAGGAACATGGACAACGACGGGTAGAATGAATGTTGCACGATCTAAACATACAGCGTCGTTATTGACAAATGGAAAGATGTTAGTTACAGGTGGATGGAGTGTTCGGTGGTTATGCTACAAATACTACTGAGTTGTACGATCCATCAACAGGAACTTGGATAACGACTGGTAATATGCATAATCAGCGATATTTGCACACAGCATGTGTATTAGAAAATGGAAAGGTGTTAGTTACAGGTGGATCGGATGTTGATGGTTATGCTAAAAATGCTACTGAGTTGTACGATCCATCAACAGGAACTTGGAGAACGACCGGTAGTATGAAGTATGGACGATATTATCATACAGCATCCGTATTAACAAATGGGAAAGTATTAGTTACAGGTGGATTGAATGGATCGGATGTTGATGCTCCTTCGTTAAATAGTGCTGAGTTGTACGATCAATCCACAGGAACTTGGACAACGACTGGTAGTATGAAATATGGACGAGTTTATCACACAACATCTGTATTAGCAAATGGAAAAGTATTAGTTACTGGTGGAGCTGGTGCTTGGCTTGGTTTTAATAGTACTGAGTTGTATGATCCATCAACAGGAACTTGGACAGCGACTGATAATATGAACCATGCACGATATTTCCGTACAGCATCCGTATTAACAAATGGGAAAGTGTTAGTTGCTGGTGGATATGATAACAATGGTTTTTCCGTAAATACTGCTAAGTTGTACGATCCTTTAATAGGAACATGGATAACTATAGAAGGTATGACCAATTCAAGATATTCCCATACTGCATCTGTATTAACGAATGGAAAAGTTTTAGTTACTGGTGGATATTTGCAGGACTATCTGAACAGTGATGATTTGTACGATCTATCAACAGGAACTTGGACAACGATTGGTACTATGAGTTATGGACGACATTTGCACACAGCATCTGTATTAATAGATGGAAAGGTGTTAATTGCTGGTGGCCTCGGTAATGGTTATATGTATAGTGCTGAGTTATATGATCCATCAACAGGAACTTGGACGACGACGGGTAGAATGAATGTTGCACGGTCTGAACATACAGCGTCGTTATTGACAAATGGAAAGGTGTTAATTGCTGGTGGCTTCAGTAATGGTTATATGTATAGTACTGATGACCGATCAATTCGTCGCGAGTCAATTCGTCGCGTTCAATTGGTCGCAATCAATTCGTCGCACAATCAATTAGTCGCACATCAATTCGTCGCAATCTATTCGTCGCATCATTCTCTCATTACATATTTTTTTATGATAGTCAACGGGGAACGCCGATTATTCGAATTAGTTATGTTTAATAATTTAAAAATACTAAGTAACATGTTTTTCGAGATATTATTCGATGACTGACATGTTGGAGACAGATATGTAAAACTTGAAACTTGAATTCAATTGAGTTTTCAAGTTTCAAGTTTCAACTTTCAACTTTCAACTTTCAAGTTACTACGAAAGGACTGGCCGCAAAAGAACTAGCCGTGAAGGGATTGCTCGCGAAAGGAGTGGCCACAATACGACACACATCACATTGCCGCTGCTGTGGGTGCCTCGAAAGAACTGGCCACAAAAGGACTGACCGCGAAGGAACTGACCGCGAAAGGAGGTGCCACACTACGACACACATCACATCGCATCTGCTGTGGGTGCCGCGAAAGGATTGGCCACACTACGACACACATCACATCGCACCTGCTGAGGGTGCCGCGAAAGAACTGGCCGCAAAAGGACTGACCGCGAAGGAACTGATCACGAAAGGAGTGGCCACACTACGACGCACATCACATCGCAGCTGCTGTGGGTGCTGCGAAAGGAGTGGCCACACTATGACACACATCACATCGCACTTGCTGTGGGTGCCGCGAAAGGACTGACCGCGAAAGGACTGACCGCGAAAGGACTGATCGCGAAAGAAGTGGCCACACTATGCGCACATCAAATTGCAGCGGCTGTGGGTGCCGCGAAAGGACTGGCCGGAAAAGTCATCTGAAATTAGATTGAAAGTTGAGACTTGAAAGTTGAAACTTGAAACTTGAAAACTCACTTGAAACTTGAAAACTCAATTGAACTCAAGTTTCAAGTTTGACACTACTGGTTGGAGACAGGTGGAATACATACGTCCTATTTAAAATTTCGTCGAAAAACGAACAAAAACATCGGTTTTTTTTCTGTAGTTTGATGAAATTACAAGATGTTGTTATTTTCTATTCTCTGAATACGTCATTTCATTTCTGTCTACGCATCATTTTCCCGCAAGATCAAACTCTGATACGGGAAATTTATAATGAGAGATGCGACGAATAGATTGCGACAAATTGACGTGCGACAAATTGATTGTGCGACGAATTGATTGCGACGAATTGGATGCGACAAATTGACTTGCGACGAATTGATCTAGTACCATAGTACTGAGTTGTATGATCCATCAACAGGAACTTGGACAACGACGGGTAGAATGAATGTTGAACGGTCTAAACACACAGCATCGTTATTGACAAATGGAAAGGTGTTAGTTGCTGGTGGCCGCCGTGGTATAGCTAGCACTGAGTTGTATAATCCGTCAGCAGGAATTTGGACAACGACTGGTAGTATGAATTATCTACGATCTGATCATACAGCATCCTTATTGACAAATGGAAAAGTATTAGTTACTGGTGGCCTCGGTTATGGTTATATGTCTAGTGCTGAGTTATATGATCCGTCAAGAGGAACTTGGACAACGACGGGTAGCATGAATTATGTACGATTTAAACACACAGCATCCTTGTTAACAAACGGGAAAGTGTTAGTCACAGGTGGATTGAGCTTCTATGGTTTTTCTATAAATAGTACTGAGTTGTATGATCCATCAACAGGAACTTGGAACAGGGCTGGTAGCATGAATTATCCACGATCTGATCATACAGCATCTGTATTAACAAATGGGAAAGTGTTATTTACTGGTGGATACGATGACCACGGTTTTTCCGTAAATAGTACTGAGTTGTATGATCCATTAACAGGAACGTGGACAATCTCTGGTAGTATGACGAATGTAAGAACATTACACACAGCATCGGTATTAGCTAACGAAGCCGTGCTGGTTGCAGGTGGATATAGGTATCTGGTTTTGAGTAGTACTGAATTATATTAGTTATATCAGAGAAATGGACAAATAATCTTATGATTGGGCTTGTGTGGAACTTTCGCGGAGAAACTTTGATCGGTAAAGAGATGTGTAATGTTTGAATCACAATGAATGATTTTTCCTTCATGTTTGTGTGACATTATTGCAGATTCAAATTATTCGATTTAATTTTTCAAATATTTGGCTTTTTCATGGTTCAGTTTTTTAAGTGTATTGTATTGAATAAATTTCATGATGTATAATGCTTGTGATTTTATAAAAATGTTTTATTGAATGGGGTTGTATCGTGAATAAGAAAAACTTCCATGCCCTATAAACAAACAATGACTGCCACCAAGACTCGCTTGACCCTCAACTGCAGATGATTATCACATTTCATTAGTCTCTGAATCCCGATTCGAAATGTGATGCAGAACACACACGTTCATTCGGAAGAGGGGCATTCATTTTACAATAACTTTGTTATAATAAATTGAAAAAATCTGAACCATAGGGTTTTATGTGTCGAGTCAGGGTGTGGGTGTGGGTGTGGGTGTTCATCTTCTCTCAACTAACACCCACACCCACACCTCACAGCTACAGCTACAGCCCCACCCACCCCACCGACCCCACACCTTTGTGTAGTTGTCGACATTATCATGAAAGCAGAACATCGCTTTTAGAATATAATTGGCACGTGAGAAGTTACTGGAGAGATTGTAGTTTTGTCTATCATTCGGGTATTTCCATGGGTATTCAACCACAAAAAACACAAAGATCTCAGA